CGGCGTGAAGCGCTGGAATGATTCAGGTAACAGGAAGCAGCACAGGTGTGAGAAAGGGCGCCGAGTGTAACCATGGAAACGGCTCCTGATCGCTCCTGAGCCGCAAGTTTCATTTTAGCTGATCTACCTGTACGTGTCACTTCCTGTCTGTGCCACTTGTGCTGTCAGCTTCACCTTTGACCCTTTAAATCAGGCTAATACCTGCGAGGTGTACATGAAATGAACCACTCTCAGAGAGACGCTTCGAGACAGCTGACCTTTGACCCAATGACACTTCCTCCTTTCACAGTTAAATAGAGGTTTGCTCTGAAACTGCAGCTGCAGTCACGATGGCGATGAAGAGCAGAGGGTCTGATGAGCACGGAGCGCCGCTGCTCGCTCTGCTGCTCGCTCTGCTGCTCGCTCTGCTGCTCGCTCTCTGGGGTTAAATGTGTTTGTTCCAGCTGAGGAACATCAGGCGTCTGCGCTCTGAGGTCAGAGCCTCCATCGGCTCACTGAAGTTCGTCACACTTGAACACAAACACGCGACACTGAGCATTTCATCAGATTTTAATAAGCAACAAGCTGCAGTGAAGCTGCTCTCAGAGTAAAGCAGCCTGTAAGCATGACAGCATGTGTTCACCTGCACCATAAACGTGCTGACATTTGTGCGACACAGTTAAGATCACAGTAACTGTTTACATGAGTTCATGTGTGCAGTGCTGAGGAAAGGATGAGCTGCGTGACTCTGCAGAGATCAGTGACCTCGTGAGTATTTCTGGATTATATGTCACAAGGATTTCCTGCTGCTGCAGACGCACCTGCAGACGCACCTGCAGCCTGCTCCACATAGCAGTTGTTGTCAAACAGCTGACCTGCAACTTGGTTGTGTTTTACAAGAAAGGCTTGAAGCTGTGCCAGGGTGCACTCGTAGATCTTGTTCTCATCATTCTTAGCTGTGGCACCTCCACTCTCATAAGACTGTGATTTCTGGTTATAGTAGCAGTGGGCGACCCACATGTAGTCAGGGATGTTGACACCTGGCTGGTTATCTCTTTTGATCCAGTTTCCTTCTGATGGAATCGCACCGACCAGAACGTAGACGTTCTCTTTGGCCAAAGCTTTGAGTTCATCCTCATATTTTTTCCACTTCCCTTTGTTCAGCGTTTGTTTTTGAGGAACTATGTTGGTCAGGGTCATAGTGGCTTTGGAAGCATCACCTGTGGAAAATGATGTAGAGACAGAAGGATGTGATTGGTGGGTGGATGAGAGCGTAGCAGGTTATGATAAAGTGCTGTGAAGCATACATTTCCCTCATAAACAGAGTTTAATTGCTTTTATGTGTAACCTCACATACCTTCTCTTTGTTCTTTTTTATTTTCCTATCTGTGACCGTTTGTGCTGTAAAAATGAGAATGTACCATATCAGGTGGCTGCATGTGTGCCGTACCTAAAGTAGACCTGGTTTTATTAGGAAAAGTAAGAGTTAAATATTAGCTATACTTATCGCCTCATGGTCACCGGTCCAAATACTGAAGATACTTCACATCCTCGTCTGTTCGTTTTAACCTGTTGGTGAGAAACTTTGAAATCATACAACTTTCTGGAAAAGCACAGCTGCTGGAACAAGTGCTGGCAGAGAGGGAACCCCAAATGATTGGGTGTCATCCCAGAGAGCCTGAGGGAATATAAAGTGTGATCCCAGAAATAATACTGTAATCCTTTAACTGGTAATAAACCCACCAGTTTGTGTTCTTCCACATGGCTGCCCACACAAACATTTACATTACTGTGCTGGAAGCAGACAGCTTCCTGTGATAAACAGCTACACATTTCACTAATGTGTCACTGAAGACAACACTCACACACTCCAGAGGCACAAAGAGAGTGCAGAGCTTTGTAAGTCATCGTGCTCAGTGTTCCTACAGCAAATGTGTGTTTGCAGCTATGCCCTTCTTCAACAAAGAGATTAATAATCTCATTTTAGAGCAGCACTACACTCTGATTATTTAGTTTTCAGTGTTTGGAAGCCACAATAATATGGCTTTTATTTTATTATAATGACTTTATGTTAGCAAGATGTTTAACTGTAAATAACCAGAATAAAAAACATGGTGTGTTTATTAAATGTTTTCGACTGTAGAATGAAAAGCATGAGTGCCGATAACTTTTATAACTTACGTACCTTCCCCTTTTTTCTTTTTTTTTTTAAACTGTCTGCATGTTATCTCTACTCATAGTAAAACATTACCCATGAAGAAGAATTTAACTAAAAACAAGATAAAAACTAGAGTCTGCTTCCAAATGTAAATTGCAACCTGATAATTCACAAAATTAAGAATTAAATTAAAGAATATATTAAAAAAGTCTTTTTAATATAATGTATTTATCCATCTTCTTCCACTTATCCAAGTCTGGGTGAGGCTGGAGTCTATCACAGCTGCCATGTGGTGAGAGGTGTGGGTACACCTCAGCTAGAGGTTTTATAACGTCACACACAGAGACGGGCTCGTGTTAGAATGATCAGTTAGCTTTAGCCCACCTACACAGAGAACATGGGGACCCCACACAGCAGGGCCCAGCGGCTGCTGCAGGACAAACATGGTTTATTCAATACAATAAATATAGACTGTACCCCATAACAGTGGCTGTGCTTCTCAGCAATACATCAGGAATAATAAACGGATGTGTGTAAATATTTTCCATGGCTGATGGCAGCCATGCTGACGTGATCGTCTGAGGAAGATCCAACTTTGCTGGATTCGAACACTCGGTCAATAAACTTGATGAAGGTAATCAAAGTGTTTTTCAGAGCGAAAGTTTGATTTTTAGCGCACTCGAGGCTAACATCGGCTGCCAATAATGTTAGCTTATAACCAGCAGTTGTTGTTTAGCCGTCCATCTCTGCCACTGTATTCAAGATGGCGGGGTAACATGGCGGCTTCCACAAACCAGTGCCCGCTCATGTGTATTTTTAAGGGATGAATTCTAAGAGTGCACGTGTTTGTTGAGTACAATATTATTCTTTTTTCCTTTCAATAAGTGACTTCTTCATACTGGAAACACTCCAGATGAACCGAATCAACCGCCTGGGATTTCCTCACCTGGATGACTGAGCAGAAAAGCCCTTGCCCACCTTTTTACTTCTTTATTTTTTCTACATGTGAGATACAACAGAGATGAAGATTAAGTCTGAAATGTAAAAAGTATTGAGATTTTTGTTAGTTTTGGTCCTGAGGTCGGAGGTCACAGGTCCTTTGTGGGGATGATGACCTTTCTCCAGACACAATCGATACAGATTCGATAGATCCATACTCGTCGTTTTGCTCTTTTTAAGTGTGTGTGTCTGTCTGTCTGCAGGTACTGTGCACTGCTGCAGCAAAAGGAGAAATGGGAGGAGCATGAGGGGCGTGGCCTGAAAGAGAAGGAGGAGCTAAACCTGGAGATCCAGAAGAACCGCCTCCTGCAGCAGGAAAACCTCCAGCTGAAAACAGATGTGGACAGGTGATGTGTTTTCACACACAGACTGTATAGCAAAGATGGACAATCATGACATCACGCGTTAGGTTTTGATGTTCTGAAGCCTCTGTGTTAGCGTTTTCTCCTCCATGTTGGTTCCAGAAGTGACCATGTTTGGATGAGAGGGCGGAGCTACCAGCTGATGCTGCTCATCAGAGCTCAGTAACAGCCAATGAAAACCCTCGACAGCAGCCAATGAGCACAGACTTTAAACTGTTCACCTTCTGCTTCCATCTTCAGACTCTCCGAGAGCCAATCACAGCAGGCGGAGCAGAGCAAGGGGCTCCAGCAGCGACACAACGAACTCAAGAGCTCTTTAGGCTCCGCCCAGCTGGAAGTGAGTCAGTGGATGGCGCGATACGATTCGCTGATGGAGCAGCACCAGACGCTGGATCTCACCATGACCAAACTAGACAACCACTGTGAGGTAAGCGCACGTTTTTCTGAAACGGCTGATTGACTGGCTGGTGGTTGGTGCCTGCTCCGTGTGTGCGCCCAGCTCCTGAGTCGCCTCAAAGGGAACCTGGAGGAGGAGAACCACCACCTGCTGAGCCAGATCAACCTGCTGAGTCAGCAGAACCACGCGCTGCTGGAGAGGAGCATGGAGAGCAAGGAGCTGTACCACCAGGAGCAGAAGCTCTACATGTGAGTGCTCGTCAGCCGCCGCGAG